GGGGCACAAAGCTAGGGTTTAGGGATCAGGTTTTAGGGTTGGGGGGGGGGGGGTTAGGGTTTAGGGTGTAGGGTTTAGGGTTGAGGGTTAAACCCTCAACCTTGAAACCTAAGCCTTTACGCCTGCAACTCCCCGCCCCCACCTCCCTGTACTTCCCTTGGGTTCGGGGTTTTGGGTGAAGGCTTTTGGGCCATAATTTCCAAGCTATCCCCTGACAATCACTCTTCAAATGATGGTTTCCGAAATGGAGGTGCCTTATTGGGGTCCTGGTTATAAGGGAATCCTGCTATTTGGGGCATATGTTCGGGGTCCGCTATTTTCATAAACCCCCCAAATATGTTCTACACCACCCCAAGTACACGTTCTGCTTGATTGGGTCCGTATATTGGCCTCCTCTCTCCTCGTCCCGGTTTGGCGTCCTAGGGCTGCGCGCTTCTTCAGTTTTGAGGTTTTTTTGTTTTAGGGTTAGAGTTTAGGGTTTAGGGTTTAGGGTTTAGGGTTTAGGGTTTAGGGTTTAGGGTTTAGGGTTTAGGGTTTAGGGTTTAGGGTTTAGGGTTTAGGGTTTAGGGTTTAGGGTTTAGGGTTTAGGGTTTAGGGTTTAGTGTTGCGCTTTTGGTGCAGCCTCATGAACTCCGGGCAGTGGGGGGTGGGCAGATTCAGGGTCTAGGGAGTTGTGAGGGCCAGGGTGTAAGTGTAAGCCCAAACCATAAAGCCATCCTAGACCCGTCCTAACCCCCGAAAACGCATCTCGTATTTCTGATGTTCTCAATCTCCGCATGGTGCAGAGCTGGAGCGCCCCCTTGTTGTGCACACATCTCGCCGCATCTAGGACTTCGGTGATCAGCAGGCACTGACGGCACTGCCACCATCTATGGTTGTCTCCTACGAATTGCTTAAGAACCCCCCCCCCAACAAAAACAAAAACAACAAAAAAAAACAAGAATAACACAGAAAATAATTGAATAAACATATTCTTCCTTACAAGGCAAAAGAGGGGTTACTCTTTGTCATTTCTTGGGGGGTTCTCAAGCAAACAGTAGTCTCAAAGCGAAGTCTGAGTCTGAACAGGCCCCCGACGCTAAGCCTAATGTCGATCCCCCGCCCCCCCCCCTCCCCCCCCTCCCCCCCCCAAAACCCTAAACCCTAAACCCTAAACCCTAAACCCTAAACCCTAAACCCTAAACCCTAAACCCTAAACCCTAAACCCTAAACCCTAAACCCAAATAAGACCTGGACCTGGTACCACGAGCCCCCGAAATTTCTGAGGGGCTTCTTGGGGGCTTCTTTGCGGGGCTCCTTGGGGGCTTCTTGGGGGCTTCGTGGGGGCTGCTTGGGTGGTATTGGGGTTTAGGGGCCCCTAAACCCTAAACCCTAAACCCTAAACCCTAAACCCTAAACCCTAAACCCTAAACCCTAAACCCCAAACCCTAAACCCTAAACCCTCAACCCTGAACCCTGAACCCTGAACCCTGAACCCGAAACCCTAAACCGTACACCCTAACTAAACCCTAAACCCTAAACCCCTGGAGCAGGTGCAGTACGTCGACAGGGAGGTGCCCAACGTGACCTACCAGCCCTTCGAGCAGCCACCTGACCTGCGAACGCCATGCTGTGGGGGTTTAGGGTTTAGGGTGTAGGGTTTAGGGTGTGCAGGGCTGCCTGTGGGTGTTTTGGGGTTTTGGGGGGTTTTTAGGCCATTTGTGCGTGAGGGTGTGTCGGGGCGCTCGGGCGCAGATGCTGTGAAGGTTCGGGTTCAGGGTTCAGGGTTCAGGGTTCAGGGTTTCGGGTTTAGGGTTTAGGGTTTAGGGTTTAGGGTTTAGGGTATAGGGTTAGGGTTTCCTGAAAGCTTCGTCAGGTGCGAAGAGCAGCCATGACCCCACTGTGGATTGAGCTCAGGCTTTCGGGTTCAGGGTTGGTTGAGGATTTAGGGTCTTGGGGTTAGGGTTTAGGGTTTAGGGTTTAGGGTTTAGGGTTTAGGGTTTAGGGTTTAGGGTTTAGGGTTTAGGGTTGACGGTTCAGGGCGCAGGGCTCAGGGATGAGGGTTTAGGGTTCAGGGTTTAAGGTTTAGGGTTTAGGGTTTAGGGTTTAGGGTTTGGGATTTAGGCTTTGGGGGTTTAGGCTTTCGGATCTCGGGGGTTGGGGAGGGGTTTAGGGTTCAGGGTTGAGGGTTTAAATTTAGGACTTCGCGGGCCTTGGTTCTTTGTGAGTGAAACTCGCGACTTGCTTACATTGTTTTCGGGCCTGGGCAGGCCGAACATGACTTCGAAGAGGGCCGTGGGCCCCTAAACCGCAAAACCCTAAACCCTAAACCCTAACTTCTAAAACCCAAAACCCAAAACCCTAAACCCTAAACCCTCAACCCTAAACCCTAAACCTTAAACCCTAAACCCAAACCCCAAACCCCAAACCCTAAACCCTAAACCCTAAACCCTAAGCCCTAAGCCCTAAGCCCTAAGCCCTAAGCCCTAAACCCTAAACCCTAAACCCTACACCTCCCTCCTCCCTCACCGCATGCCCTCTCTCCGCCAAAGGATCGTGGAGGTACCCCAGGCGTGGCATAGTTGGGGAGTGTGTGTGCGGGTTCTGGGGCTTGAGGGTTTTGAGGCCTGTTTAGGGTTAGGGTTTAGGGTTTTGGGGGGCTGGTGCTCAAGGGGTTGGAGTTTTGAGGCTTTACGGTTCTGGGTTTAAGGTTTCAGGGTGTAGGGTTTTGGGCTTTAGGGTTTTACAGTGACATGAGATTGAGGGTATGCAGGGTTTAAGTCTCAGATTCGTTGCCGCGAAACCCTAAACCCGAAACCCTACAGCCCTAAGCCCAAAACCCCGCCTGAACACCCCCAGAACCTTTAAATGCTTAAACCCCTAAACCCCTTAAGCCCCCCAAGCCCCCTAAATCCCTTAAGCCCTCAAAGAAGGCCCCTAAAGCCCCCTAAACCTTCCCAAACACCGCCCTCGAAGCCCTTGAAGCCATTGAAGCCCTTGAAGCCCCTGAAGCCCTAAACCCTGAGGCCTACACCCTAAACACTCGGTTTAGGATTAAGGGTTTAGGGTTTGGGGTGTAGGGCTTAGGGTTTAGGGTTACGGGTTTAGGGTTAAGCCCCAAACCCTAAACCCTATACTCGCGAGGTGGTCAAGGAGGAGCGCCTTGTCGAGGTGCCTCAGGTGCAGTTGGCGGAGTTCATCAAGCAGGCCCTAGGGTTTAGGGTTTAGGGTTTAGGGTTTTGGGTTTTGGGTTTGGGGTTTAGGGTTTAGGGTTTAGGGTTTAGGGTTTAGGGTTTAGGGTTTAGGGTTTAGGGTTTAGGTTTAGGGTTTGGGGTTTAGGGTGTAGGGTTTGGGGTTTAGGGTTTAGGGTTTGGGGCTAAGCCTTAGGCCCGAACCCCAAACCCTAAAGCCTAGACTAGCCCCTACGGACCCTAAATCTAAAGAACAACACGTTGAAGGTGCGGGGGCTTAAGAGTGTAGGTGTTGAGGGTCCCTAGACCCCGAGCCCTTAAACCTAAACCCTAAACCCTAAACCCTAAACCCTAAACCCTAAACCCTAAACCCTAAACCCTAAACCCTAAACCCTAAACCCTAAACTTCCTTAACTCCAAATCCAAATGGGCATTTCCCAAAATAGGGGTACCCCCTTTGCACCTCAGATAGAACAGAATCCCGTTAAAGGGACCCCCAAAAAGGATTCAGGGTTTAGGGTTTCAGCCCTAAACCCTAAACCCTAAACCCTAAACCCTAAACCCTAAACCCTAAACCCTAAACCCTAAACCCAAAACCTAAACCCTAAACCCTAAACCCTAAACCCTAAACCCTAAACCCTAAACCCTAAACCCTAAACCCAAAACCCAAAACCTAAACCCTAGACCCTAAACCCTAAACCCTAAACCCTAAACCCTAAACCCTAAACCCTAAACCCTAAACCCTAAACCCTAAACCCTAAACTAAACCTAAACCTAAACCCTAACCCTAAACCCTAAACCCTAAAAACCCTAAACCCAACCCTAAACCCTAAACCCTAAAAACTAAACCCTAAACCCTAAACCCTAAACCCTAAACCCTAAACCCTAAACCCTAAACCCTAAACCCTAAACCCTAAACCCTAAACCCTAAACCCTAACCCTAAACCTGAACCCTGAACCCTGAACCCTAAACCCTAAACCGAATTTCGGAAATCCCCAAATTTCTGACCTCCCGAAGCTTCCTAAAGCTTGCCAGACGTTCTAACCTCCTGTCCCCCCAGGCCACCTGGGACCCGTTTCGGGTTTAGGGTTTAGGGTTTAGGGCTTAGGGTTTAGGGTTTAGGGTTAAGGGTTTAGGGTTTAGGGTTTAGGGTGTTTAAGATTTGTTGGGTTGAGGGCTTAGGGTTTAGGGTTTAGGGTTAAGGGTTTAGGGTTTAGGGTTTAGGGTGTTTAAGATTTGTTGGGTTGAGGGCTTAGGGTTTAGAAGGCAGGGTTGAGGGTTGCGGCTTTGGACGATGGCATGGGATCCTCTGCTGCCCTCCCTCTGCTCCCCAACAACGGGATACCAACCTTGAGAGGGATTAGGGTTTAGGGTTTAGGGTTTAGGGTTTAGGGTTTAGGGTTTAGGGTTTAGGGTTTAGGGTCGCCAGCACTCGTGCACCCTCCCCCATGCCCCGCACCGGGTGTCGCCCCCTACCCCGTTGCTTCACGTCACGGCGGGCAGAGTGAAGACCCTAAACCCTAAACCCTAAACCCTAAACCCTAAACCCTAAACCCTAGACCCTAAAGCCGGACCAGGGACCACGGACCATGAACCACCGAGGGGGGGGGGGTAAAACTCTAAACCAACCCTGGTTTCGGGTTGAGGGATGAGGGCATGGTTGGTTCAGAGGCTACATGGGGCTGAATTACAAAATGTGGGTTTTTGCCCAGAGTTGGGCATCCCAAGGCAACCTGTATAGCAGCGAAGTGCCCGCCGGGAGTTGTTGAGATTGCGCCTCAAATCCAGGGAGACTTCCTGCCCAGCGTTCCCGGCTGGCGCGAGCAGACATGGTGCGCGCTCGAGGTTCCTTGACGAGCGCCCTCATCATCCTCATCGGCCTTCTGACGGCGTCCAAGGTGTGTCTAGACTGTTCTTGGACACCAGGATTGCTCTTTATTTCTGTTGGCTACTACTATTCACAAAGGGATATGCAACCAAAACCCCATCAAACCGAAAAGACCCAAAAAGTGCAGCCTTGAAAGCAGTCGAGGTGCTTCACGGAGTTGGGTTTCCTATCAGCTCGTGCCCGGTTGGTTTCCGTGGCCGCCGGCCTGGTTACCCCAGCCCAGCTGCACCCACCAACCGTCCAGCCAGTGCAGACGTCCAGATGGCGGAGGGGCACCGGCGCCGGCAGCGTGCTTGCTGATGCTGAGCTGTCCGCACAGGACCAGCAGAAACTGGGCAATCTGGTGCTCTCCGGCGGCGCACTGTATGTCAGCGGCGTCTACAACAGCACCTACATGGCAGTCCTGGAAGCACACGAGCGAGCAGTCAAGAGAAGCGCGGAGGGCTCGAGCACCTGAGGACCACAACGACACTGGGTAGCCCAGTGGGTACCCTTTACCCTTTTTCTTTGGTCTGGGTTCCCTTATGAAGTAACCAACCAAAAGTGGGTGCCCTTATTATGATGTGGTTGCTGGGCTACCAAGGACAACAAGAGCTCATGAGGCGCATGGGATCGTAGCCCAAACACCGCGTTGTCTCACGGATTTTCAAGCCCGAACCCCTGTCTGAACTCCGAAACCCAGAACACCCCCTCTCCCTAAACCCTAAGCCCCCAGACCCCCGAACTTTTCAGTGGCCCGCACTCCCGCCGTTCCAGCTCCGTCGACCGTCAATAGGCGCAGCGGACTTGAGTGTCAACCACTTGCGGTCCTGTCTTTGCCAGCTTCCGGGGGAGCTCAATAAACCTAAACCCTGAACCCTAAACCCTAAACCCGAAACCCGAAACCCTAAACCCTAAACCCTAAACCTAAACCCTACACCCTAAACTCCCTAAGTCCCAACCTCCCTAAACTCCGATACCTCTCCAAGTATCCGATCACGAATTAGGACAATTGTGCTCCCCTGGATGCTCTTCCAAGACTCCAATGTTTGAGGGCCCCAAGCCCCTTGTCGAGGGCCGGGCGACAGAATAAATAAGGTTAAGGGTTGAGGGTTTAGGGTTTAGGGTTTGGGGTTTAGGGTTTAGGGTTTAGGGATACGGTTCCTCAACACAACTGGTTCACCGTACTTGCGGTAGAAGGGTCTCGGGTTTCTTGAACCCCTGGCAAAGACATGCGACCTCTAGCACCGATCCAAGGCAGATGTCCTTATACCGTTCCATACCCAATTCGATGCGCGAGCGAAGAATGGGGTTTAGGGTTTAGGGTTTAGGGTTTAGGGTTCAGGGTTCAGGGCTCAGGGTTCAGGGTTTGACCGTAGACCCTAAACCCTAAGCCCGCTAAGCCTCTAACCGTAAAGCTCTCAATCCTAGACCCGAAAACCCTAAGCCCTCAAACCCCAGACCAGACCCCCACCTTGAAGCCTGAACTCGTTTTATTGTTATTGTTTTTTGTTTATTCATTTATTTCACTACTTATGTGTTTGTTGCTATTTTTTGTGGAGGGGGCCTTAGGCTTCGAGTAGGGTTTCGGGTTTAGGGGTTGGGGTTCAGGGTTTAGGGTTTAATTATTAGGGTTGAGGGTGTAGAGTATATACGTAGTCAATCCCCTCCATTTTTCAAAGTAGGGGATGGAGAAGTTGAATATCAGGTCTTATGCCAGCTGAGCTTTAGGGGGAGGGCGTTTTGTTTCTGGGTTGTCGCCTTCAACATCAATCCTAAACCCTAACCCCCATCGTTCGCAAGACCCCCCCGCCCCCCCCCCCCCCTGCCAACACGATCCTAAATTCCGATACCCAAACCTGAAACCCCAAACCCTAAATCCTAAATCCTAAACCCTAAACCCTAAGCCCTAACCCCCCTAAACCCCGGGGCGTGAACCACATCTTTGCATGTCAGCCCCTAAACCCCCTAAACCCTAAATCCCCTAAACCCCTAGACACCCCAACCTTAAACCCCTAAACACCCTAAACCCTCACCCCTAAACCCTGAACCCCTAAACCCCGAAACTCTAAACCCTAGACCCCGAAACCCTAAACCCTAATACTATCCCCTCCACTCCATCCACAGGTTCCCAAGCAGCAGGTCAGGGAGGTGCCAAAGCACATTCCCAGGGTCGAGACGCGCTGCGCCGCGCGCCCGGACTTTGGGGGTTTCGGGGTTTGAGGGTTTTAGGGCTTAGGGGTTTAGTGCATAAGTGCACCTGCGTTTGCAAGATTTAGGGCTTGTAGGGTTTAGGGTTAATTAGGGCTTACCCCAATAGAGGTGAAAGGGGGGGGGGGGGGGGGTTTAGGGCTTTAGGGTTTAAGGGTGTTGGGATTTGAGGGGTTTGCGGGGTTTGGAGGTTTTTCACGGTTTAGGGTTTTAGGGTTCAGGGGTTGGTTTAAACGGTTTAGGGGCTTAGGGTGTAGGGGTAATGGGTTTGGGGTTTAAACGGTTTAGAGGTTTAGGGTTTAGGGGTAAGTGCTTAGGGTTTAGGGTTTAGGGTTAAGGTTAGGGTTTAGGTTTAGGGTTAAGGAGGTTAGGGTCTATAGGGTTAAGTGCTTAGGGTTTAGGGTTTAGGGTTAAGGAGGTTAGGGTCTATAGGGTTCAGGGGTTTAGGCAGGTGACCGCATGTTTGGGCGTGAACCTCTTCAACGCGGTTTGGGCCACGATTCTTCCCCATTTCTCCATGTTGTGAAAATGCCCCTAAATCTTAAACCTTACCTGGGACACCATTTGCCTACAGTTTAGTAGCAACAACCCCTGAATTCGTAAGCATAACCCAGAAAACTGCAGGTAAAGAGTTGCAGGTGGATCCCTAAACCCTAGATCCCTAAGACCCTCAACCCCAAAGCATGTCAATGTCATGGTGCAGTAGCGATTGTGGGTTTAGGGTTTAGGGTTTAGGGTTTAGGTTTAGGGTTTAGGGTTTAGGGTTT